CACCATCAGGTGGTTCTGTACGGCTAGTTGTGTCAAGCGCCACCAAGATCATGAGTATGTCACGTGACGGCAGTGACATCAAAGACATCAAGTTGGTGGACGCGGTAGATGTGGAAGTTGATGTGGCCTCGCAGACTGTCTACTATATCAACAACACAGATAATCAGGTGGATTATCCCTTGGAGTAGGATAGAAGGGACTTGGATAGGGTTATGGGATTAAGATTAGGGTTAGGGTTAGAGTTCTGAAATTGGCCAGGGTTAGGGTGAGTGTTAGGGTTAGGGATAGGGTTAGGGTTATGGAATTGGTGAAGGTTAAGGTCAGGGTTAAGTTTTGCGTTAGGGTTGGGATAAGGGTTAGGGTTAAGATTAGGGTTGCCTTCATTTCATTGCTTTGGGATCCGGTAGGGAAAAATATTTTGGGCCAGTGGATTGCTAGATGATTATCCCCTTTAGGATTGGAACTTGTCTAAGTAATATAAACATTTCCAACAAGAAATTTCTTTTTTTCTCTCATTGAGTACCTATTTAATGCTCGTTGGACCCATCTTATTGACAGTCTCCATTATGTTAAGTCTCACATTTAATTTATATGAAATACTGAAATTTGTCAAAGTTCGTATTGGTGTTCATTTGTTACTTTTTTCATTTTTAAGACATCGGTGTCAACAAAACTGGCAGCGAAAGTACCATTCATACTGTTACAAAATATTTTGGGGATCAGTAGTGTTACACATTACAAGTATAATGCTTTACTATTTATTTTTTGTTGTGATTTTGAGAATTTCTACTTACATTTTCTTAGCCAAAACTCTATTCGCATCCTGACTGTCTCCCTATACAACCTCTTACATCTGTGGTGTCAGACCCAACCTGTTGCTGGTTTTTATGTGCTCTGATGTGGTTTGTTCTTTCTTTCTTATCGTCCTTATCTCTCCTCTTTTTTGCGTTTGTTACTCTCTTGTAATACCTCTAACCTTTGACGGTTATACGACCTCATTGTATTTCAGGAGTCGTAAAACTAAAAGACCCTCGCCCCTTTGTTCTTCTTCCCTCAGGTGTACAGTTGTCCTGTGGCAGGCGGCCCCTCCTCTCTGATCCCAATACATGGCCTGGCCATCCCGGTGGATCTTGCCTTGGACTGGGTAGGGCGTGCCCTCTACGTGGTTGACCGCGACACCGCGAGAATCGAACTCTTCTCTCTCACACGACGCCTGCAACAGAACATTGTTTCCGACAACCTACAAGCCCCGAGTGCTATTGCTGTGGACCCAAATGTTGGGTGAGAAAACGTAGTTTCAATTTTCGCGCTACTAGTTTGAACATTGCAAAGGGAAAACTAGAGGCAAAAAAGGGGTAGATATGACTAATAACTTGTACATTTTCTGAGAAGCTGTCTTAGATTTGGCAGGTTGGAATTACAAATGAATTGTTGGGAGAAGACAGGAATGGAGAAATGAGAATGACATAGTTGTTAGGGTAACCAACACTCGTAGTAGTGGGGCAGGATGTCTGAGTGAGTGGTATCTTTCAATATAGTAAGTAAACATGATGCTAACAAAGAGACTACCAAACAAAAAAACCAAAACGATCGAAAAACAATTATGTGTTTCAGAAAGAGGAAAACACAGCCTACAATGCCGGATTAAACATATCTAACCTATGTGAATACAAATAATACGTGTACACATTAATGCAAAAAACACTTGAACATAATATCATCCCATTTCCATTTCTGCTCTCGCTACTAGCTACCTGTTTTTCGCTGACCGCGGCCACAAGGGACCCTATCTGAAGCCTCGTATCGAGCGTGTGTTTATGGACGGCAGTCACCGCTGGAACATGGGACTCACCAAGATCCTGCAACCTCAGGCCATTGCCCTGGACACGGTCAACCAGAGAATCTTCTGGGTGGACTCACATCTTGACCACCTAGACACTGTGGACTACAACGGCCAGAACAGGTCGGTCGTAGGAATTGTTTTATGTCGTGATGTACAGTGTTAAATAAAGAATTATGACCCCCCCCCCCCTAGATATACAGATAGGAAAACACCCAAGCATTATCAGCCTCTCAAACAATTATGACTCATTCTTCTTTCACGCACACAGACACACACAGGCACACACAGACACACACATATACAGACAGACAGACAGACAGACAGACGCACACACACACACACACACACACACACACACACACACACACACACATACATACTCACGCGCACATACAAACACACAAATACACACACATGCAAGAAGTAATCGTCACAGTAACGGAATTGTGGCGTAATGACTGGTATTTTAAGATATTGGCTTTAACCAGGTAAGACGGGTTAGACGTCATAACCTAGTACACGTATTTTGCCCTACTGTCTCAAATGTAACTAGATGGGCGTTGATACTTGGCAATCGGCTGAAACATTACAAATGTGAATAAAGCAATATGAGCCCAAACAACAACAACACGGAAGATCTTACAAGGGACAGAAATCTTAACGAGGAAAATGGACTGACCAGTCCGTAGAGCTGCTGAAGAGGAGTGGATGAGGCTTTTTCGGTTCAGATGATTACCATAAAGCTTACACTGAACATATCAATTTAATTGCATCTCTTATATGAACTTTTAATTTTCGTTAAATGTTTTGTGTAAGTAAATTTACCTGTGGCACAATCTGTAAAGCTAAGATTACATCTTTTTGAGGGCTTTATCAACAGCTGTGACTCACACACGACAATTTAGGGGCCAGGAGACCACGAATTTATTTTTTCTTCTTTTTTTCCCCTTGCCCATTTATATGAGGCTGACGCCATCTGATTAGTAGAAAAAAGTGCGATAGTGTCCAATAGTGTATTACGTGCATACTAAATATAACAATTAACTGTAATAGCAGATAGAGATTCCAGGATTATAGATGTAAGTCATTGATCTGAAAGCGGCGATGATTTTAGATATAATGGTGGTGATGAGTGATGATGTGGGATTGCGTTTAAGTAATGTTAGCGTTAGTCCTATCTTCCTCTGCTCCAGTGAGTCACGAGGGACGCAGGGGACCACGAATATCATAGGTGGTCAAATAAATGCCACATGTAAACAGGACCCCTGGTACTAATACACCATCTCAATGTATTCTCTAACAAGACTAAAAGTTGTGGATTCTCTTCAGAATAAAAAGTACAGCACAAAAAGCAACATTTTATTGATTTGTTTATTTATTTATTCATTTATGCAACCCCCAGGAGAACGATCGTGTCCGGCGGTCTACGTATCCCAGCCCCCGTCTCTGTGACGGTCTTTGAGAACCAGCTGTTCTTTGCCGACATCACCAAACTGGGCGTCCTGCGGGTGAACAAGACGGACAGCGCCTTCGCTCCCCGCACCCTGAAGCAGGTCCTTCGTATGGACGTGGGCGTGCCCGCGGCTGTTGTCGCAGTGCATGACTCACTACAGACTCTCAGGTCCAGGGGTAAGACTTTTGCGTGTTTCTCAGTGCGTACCTATGTGTGCTTGCGTGTGTGTGCCTGGGAATTTGTATTTGTGAATGTGACCGATTTTATAAATATAGATATCGTAAAGAAATACCCGTTTGTTGTCATGTACCTTAATTTTTTCTTTATCTACAATTGTTTCCTTTTTAATCTTATGATTTCTATTTGTTCCCCCCCTCCCCCAGGCGGTAACCCTTGCACGCAGAATCCGTGCGCCCACATTTGCGCCCTGTCCCACACCACAGACAACAACGGACTGGGGTACCGGTGTCTGTGCCGTGCCGGCTACACCCTCAACCACGACATGGCCAACTGCACTAGTAAGTGGCATACAGAAGACAGTGACTCATCGAAGTCAGATGAGCTGTGATACACTGAACATACATTGTAAGCAAAGATGTTATAAATATAAAACTAGAGGTCGTGGCAGTGACGTCGCACGTGTTCCACAGGGGGGCCTTCTCGACATGAACGAAATGGCTGGTGTGCCCCCATTACATGAGCTATCTCAGCCCTCATCTCGTTACCCATGAGCTCTGGTAGGGTAAAGACAGCCCTTTGCGTGCATATATACGATCACTACAAATAATGCTGTAAAATAACCTAGTCTACGCACTGCTTATTTTGAGACAGCGGCGTCACTCTGCCCCTACATATATTCAGTGCAAGCTTGTAGAATTCCGTCCGAGTTCGTCTATACGTCGTGTCTAAGCGAGTCTCTAAAAGTACTCACTCGTCTGTTGCACTGCGCTTGTTCTTGTACCCAACGTTCAACGTCCAAGAGTAGACACACGCAGCCCCCTTTCGTTTACTTGGGTGGATGCTGGACTTCGGAGGGAGATTGGAAGGGGTGGGGGGCTGGTTAAGGCTTTTTAGTGTTTTTTTTCTCTTTTTCTTTTATAAGTCTTTCGAGTCACAGTATAAGATAGAAAGGCTGTGGATGGGTGCTGAAGATTTATAACTGGCTGTGTGTTTTAACCGCATGCCAAATAAACCTGTCATCTTTACCCATTTTCAGAAATTGAGAAGTTCATCCTTTTCGCCTCACCTCGCTGTGTGCGAGGTATTGCCCTAGACGAGCCAGGCGATTACCCTATCGACGCCATCCCACCAATCGTTGGCCAGCGCTGGGGTCGCTTAGGGGTCAACTACGTGGCCCTGGACTTCGATGCCGAGAACGAGACTGTCTTCTTCTCGGACGTCAGAAACCGGGTCATCTACAGAGGAAAGATCGGGGAATCTGGTGAGTTATGTTTTAGTTTTAGTCTTAGATTTACGCACTTGTTACTCGAATAGGTCACTTAATAGGTAACAAACAAAGAAAAGGAGGAGGAGAGGCGAGGACGATAGATGTTGGATTGGAAAAAAGGGGCAAACCACATCAGTGCACCAGCAAATTACCCAGTCTAGTAAGTTTTAACCTTCAGTATCTACATATATAACTCCACATGTTTTCACACAACACAACCGCCACAGGCTGCTGTTTTCTGTTCATGTGAGACACAACTGCAATCTCACTGTGGCTTTCATTATGACCCCCTACGGAGACCCCGCATGTTGTGCACTAGGTCAAACAGTTCAGATTGGGGCGTTGTACTTAACGTTTACCTGATTTCCGAACAGCAGTCGTGTCTGAGCTCATTTTGCTATGTTCCTGGAAGAAGAACCTAAAAGGCCCAACCACCCCAGTCCAACGCAGATTAAAACTGTATTCTTTACCGTGATAGTTCAGCTTCTTACTAACAAACGTTTGAAATAATGTTTGTAAAACGTATGTCTCAAACAGTATATAAATAAACCTGTCTTTTCTTGTTTCATTTCTTTATGTGAAGTTGGTGTTCCTGCTATTCACATCTATCAAATAATATATTTTTAGATGGTTTTGCCCTTCTGCTTGATGCAATGTCTGAGAAAGCTGTTATGTTGTCTTTTATCGATCAATGAGATTTAAATTATAAGCGATAGGACCCCCCCCCCTTTTCTTCCTTTTCTGTTGTTGTAAATTCTAACGAGTGTTGCTTTTGTCCTCAGATCCCCAACCACACCTGGTAACAGACATCGGTTCTGTGGAAGGTATCACCTACGACTGGGTGGCAAAGAACCTGTTCTTCACAGACTTTAGGCGGAGTACACTGTCTGTGGTCCGTGTCAACCATCCGAACGAAAGGAGGGACCTCATCAAGAACCTTGGGAATGCTAGGTCGATCGTCGTGCACCCTCTGAAAGGGTATGGGACATCTGAAAGCATAAGCTGATTCGTGTTTTAACCTATTCCCTGTACTCTTTGTCTTTTTAAAAGGTTAATGACCGTCCCTCAAATACAAACAAGCTAAAAAAGCAAAGCAAAGTAATGCAAAACAAAATAAAACAAAACGAGAGAGAAAGAGAGAGAGAGAGAGAGAGAGAGAGAGAGAGAGAGAGAGAGAGAGAGAGAGCACACCGTTTTTCAACTGTTCCTTTTCAGCATTTGTCACTATAATTTCTCATTCATGTCTGAAAAATTTATAGCACGGAGATAGTTTAAATGGTTACGGAGAGCAGCGTGGATGTCTGACAGGAAGAAGAAATGGGACGGGGGGGAGGGGGGGATTGTGCAGTGTACTTAATGCAAGGAGATAGTTAATGAAGAATGATGTGGCTTCTTAAAAAGATACTTACTTGCATAAAACGTTAATGGTGTGAAAACTGTGTGCAAACGTACCTTTCCAACTCAATTTGTTTATGAATTTTGTTTTCTTTTACTACCTTCCGAGCATCTCTTCGCCTAAGAATATAATTAGAGATTTAAAGGACATATGGGACATCCCCATGGAGACATGGTTGTAAAAAAAACAAAAACATTTTTTCTTGCTGACATTTCAGATTTCTGTTTTACTCGGATTGGTTGAGAAATTCCCGCCAGAGCGCCTACATCGCCCGTTGTTTCACAGACGGCACCAATATTACCCACATCCGACAGAACCAGCTGGGCTGGCCTAACGGACTCACCATCGACTTCCAAAGTGAAAGACTTTACTGGGCAGACGCATATTTTGACAGGTAAAACTAACAGAACGGAACAGTAACGACTCCACTACTCACAAACGAGAACATCGATTAACCCCTTCACTACCAGATCTCTTTTAAATTCATATTGTACAGTGTCTACCGTCTCAGGTGAGGCAGTGAGAGGGTTATTATGTATGACGTTTTAATAATCTAACAGATCAACAAAACGCATAAAAAAGCATAAAAGCGAATCTGTAGAATTAAGTCAGTGCAAGAACGATAATTTGAGGTAGGGCTGAAGGAAGACCACGTGGGACGCTCAATGATAAATGTACCCTCAAGTACACTTGAATAGGCGGGAAGTCCTCGGACTTCCTGCTCTCGCTGGAAAAAAATAAAAGAGAAAGAGGCAGAGGCAGTGGCGGTGGTGGACCCAAATTTGGGTGGGGCTTAGGTTGCTTCCACTTCTTTCCCACCAAATAACAAGCAATGAAAACAAAACGGTGATAATTTTTCTATACTCACGGCGAGCCACGGCATTTTGAGAAGCATTCAAACGAGGTGAGTCACCGTTGTCTTCCATCTCTATGTTTAAATTCTTCTGGATGGTGGGGACGAAGTCGTTTCACTACCACATTTCTCTAATTAATTTTCATCTAATGAAAAAGTTGCCTCAAAAGTGGTTTGATATGTTTAATAACTGTTAAATCTCAGCGGCACACACACAAACATGCTCACAAAACACTCCAAACATACACCGTCTATTAGCTGGATTAGGCCGTGTAGTCGCGGAAAGTACAGCGCACAACAAAGGTCCAATGGACGCATAGATAACTGTGTCACGGGGGGAACGTGTGTTGTAAACTTTCACCCCATTGTCAGGGCTAGGACAGCGTGAGCCCTCAATACAGTGTTCTTTTTAAAAATAGTCTTTTACCTTTTTACAAGAGGGGTTTCATTATGGAGGGAGCGTGGTAACTGGCTTATCTTTTCTGAGCCCTAAAGACATTTGATTGGCTGTTATGTTACTATAGTTGTAAGCGGTGACGACAGTGATTGGATAAACGAGCAAGTCGTCAAATTGATTACTCTGCGTTCATTGCGTGCGGTCGTAGCGGTTTCAACTGCTTATTTCGTTATTTTCATTAACTTAGGGATAGAGTTAGGGGGTGGGGTGGGGGTGGAGAGGGGGCTGAAGCCCGTGAGCCCTTCACTACCCACCGCCACTGGGCAGTGGTTGACCAAGAACAAATTACTAAGAGAACTTGAACAGATAGTGGCAAGGAAAAACCACATTCTGTACGTTTTGTAGAGCATGCGAGAAAAGAAATCAGTGTCGAACCATGATTGACAATATCTGCTTCAGATCTGACACTAAGATTTAACGATGATGGTGACAAGAACAGTCGGTGTCATTTTGGAGCAGAACAGATCTAGGCAATAGACGCACCGGAAAGCGACAGAAGGTGAAGGCATCAGCTAGACGGACGCACCGCTTAATTCGCGAGAATGAGGAAGTGAACTGAACCAAGGTTTAGTAAAAAGTCGGTGTTCGTAAGCATCCAATGTTGATCAAAGGTCTTTTGTCAAACACCCAAACTATCCATCTGTTTGATCTGAGGGTGGTGGTGCATGTTTACTTAAGGCAGCTGGCAAGTGTAATTTTGTACGTTTTAGCATGAGCAAATGAAAGAGGCCCCAGTGCACCATGTTCAAACTCACGTTTAGTCAGGGTTTCACAGTGGTTGGAAACCTGATAGAAAAGACAATGAACCAATCGTATACTTTTACACTTTTCGATTTTCTGTTAAAATTAAATAAACTTTTTTCCCCACTATATTGTAGTAAATCACAGAGCTCGCAATAAAATGATAATATTTTTATTACAACGACAGCGCTGAGACGTTATTTGCTGATTTGAAACAATGATACGGGTACTGTTGGTTTGTCTTATGGCTGGGGACATGGCTTGGAAAAGATTTAACTGTCTTCAGTATGTAAAGCACGTAAGAGCTTTAGGAGGATCGAAATTTGATAACCCCTGCCTTTGTACGGTGCTTAGATCATGAGATAAGTGGATGAAATTTTCATTGTTTTTTCCCTTCAAGCCTGATCTGTATGACAGGTCACCCTTCAAATCTAACTCTCGAAATCGATGTAAATCAAGGAACGTAACCTCAGGTTTGTAGCTTCCTTCCAGAAAATCATGCTGAATTTATTGCTTAGTTAGCTACCCTGGCTGACAAGTCAATCGTTGCATTCGGTGATGTCGAAGGAAATACGTAAATACAAACCTTTGTTATTGTCATGCGCTTTGTTTTAACACGCTGGACTCTAGCACACGCCAGAACGGTCTACTTATCAGAAGTTCATAGTGCGCGACTAGAATCGCCTCACACTCACACACTGAAAGCTTTATCAATACGATGTTGGCGTTTGTGTACCCTGAAAGATGACTTACTACCTAATGAAAACATACCTTTAGTTAGCCAAAAAAGCAAAACAACAACAAACAAACAAACACCCCCAACTCCCCCCTTGCGCCGCCCAAAACCACTTACAACAACACGAAAACAAGCAATACTTCCAAATCTGCACTCTATGAGCAACGATGGCTCCTGAAAGTGACGGTAAGCAAACTTTTCACTTACCTCGGATACAACCTTAGGGTTCGCTAGGGAGTTGTAGTACATGTCAAAACTAGGTTTGTGGTATCATTTTGTTCTAATCTATTAACGTGCTATCTTTAACAGACTCTCAATTCTTAGTATTTGCGTCATTTATACTCCCTTTGACAGCGTGAGGTTTGTACAAAAAGGTTATGACGACATGTTTTCTTCTTATACATTTGAGCCTTTCTATAGGCGTAATGTTAATCATGAGCCAGATGACAAAATAAATATTGCCAATCGAAAGCGTTGATTTCTGAAAACGCACACAACAACCGTGTCCTCACACGAGAATGAGTGATTCGTTTTCTAAGCAATCTGTGTCAAGAGCTATCATTAAAGATAAACCACCCCCAACCCCCGCCCAAAAAAACAAACAAACAAACAACCAAACAACAACAAACAAGCAAAAAAAACAACAACAAACAAAACAAAACAAAACAAGAAGAAATTTACCCTCTCAGTCATGAATTTTTTTCACCCAAACTTTTGTTCACCCCTTTCAGAATCCAACATTCTCAACTAGACGGGAATGACCTACAAACGCTGTCTGGCCATACTGTTGTGCATCCATTTGGAATCGCCATCTACAAAGGTAAGACATGCTGCATTATTTTCTCAAGACAGCAGTCATGCTAAGTGTAAGCTGTATTGTCTCTACGTGCTGAGGCAACTACAAGAGATATAGAGAGGTTTATGAACACGCCCATCATTATGATGAGATTTATGCACTATACTGTAGTATGTCTTCCTGTGGGCGCGTTTGTCTTTTGTGTGAATGTGCACATGCCCGTGTGTGTGTGTGTGTGTGTGTGTGTGTGTGTGTGTGTGTGTGTGTGTGTGTGTGTT